TTTTTTTTTTTTTTTTTTTTTTTTTTTTTTTTTTTTTTTTTTTTTTTTTTTTTTTTTACATTGGTACGATACATTATGTAGAAGTATGTTCCCAAAGAAATGTTTTTTTAAGCCAGAAAGACGTTATTTTGTGGATTTTCCCATATATCAGGCGTTGAAGGGGGATTAAGATAAATGATGGTAGGTTATCATGCTTGTTATTGTGTGTTGGCAGCATTCACATGCCAGAAAAGTCTTTGTCTGTCTTGTAGGTTACTTTTAATCATGAAATGTCAATATTTTGTAATAATCAATATTTTGTCCACGATATTATTTTATCATTCAAAAGTAAATTTAGTTGTTATTTATAACAAAGTCTTATTAGTAAAAAAAATGTAATTGAATCTAAAAACACAATTAATTTAGTCATGTGTTCATAAATCAATCACACAGTGTATTCACGTCACTTGGAACCAAACAAATAAACAAGTATCATATATAAAAGTATCGTATTAGAAGAGAAAAAATTTTTGTTTCCTGTACTAGAATAATCAAAAATAATTCATAAGGACAAAAAAAAATCCTCAACTAAAGTAGTATCGACCGAAACAGCGTTATGTATCATTTCAAGTAGTAAAAGTCAAGCACAAGTCAGACAGATGCGAAAATATAAAACACACGAAGAAAAAATGATAAAAAAATTTGTAAAAATCGTAATAACACAAAGTAACATTAAGCATGAAGAGCAGTCACGTAACAACAACCACAACAACAATAACCAGTAAACACAAAAAAAAGGTGAAAAAAAGTCGAAACAAAAGATCGGCCAAATCTAGACCCCAAACCTTGAAAGCAACGTCACTAAGTAGAGAATTAGTTGGGTGTCCTACTCTGTAGAGCGAGCTCTCCAGTTCCGCTTGGCTGACGATCCTCTGCTGCTTAGCCTTGGACTCCCTGTCGTCCTCCGGTCCCCCACCGCCCTCCACCTCTTCGGTGCCACTTGCGCTGGACGCCTGTTCTGGTTGGCCGGGTGGGGCGCGCGCCTCGCTTGGACTCAGTGCTCCGAACATCTCGAAGCTCAACCGCGCCAGTCGTAGCTGCTCGATCAGATATGGCACCGCCGACTCCTTCAGGTTGCCAATCACCTGACGTGCTATCAACAGGGCTGCCAGTTGCTGGAAACCGATGGTGTACTCTTTTTTTTTTTTTTTTTGCTCTTTTTGGCGGGTACATGATTATATTTTTGGGGGGTCTGTTCCTTGTAAGTGGCTAGTTAAATGGGGTGTAGTATGCTATAAAAAAACACGTTACGAGATTCACTAGTAATTTTTGATACGATGGCAAAGTACGAGTAAATAGGTTAAAATTTTCCTAATTAGGTATTATAATATGACTTGAAAGTTATTTAAAAAAAAAATTCTTTCCTTGTTTTTTTGAATCATCGTGTTAAAAAAATTGTTTAAAATTTTTTATTTTGTGCATGACAAAGATGTTATTTCTTAAAATTTCAAGAGTCTTTTTTCCTCGGTTTTATTAAATGCCAAGATCTTGAAATATTTTTAAATATTTTTAAAGGTTATTTTACGCCAAAAAAATGTGGAATTTCGTAAATCTAAACACTTTACTAGATAATTCTAAAAAAATGAAAGTTGAATAAATTTGATCTAAAAAATGTATTTATCGTCACATATTAAATAAGCAATTTAAATAAAAATTGAGAAAATTTGTAACAAGGCATAATGCTTATAATATTTTGTCACATCGAACATTTCTATTATTTTTGTAGCCTTATGAATTATACTTTTAATTATTGTACTAAAAAAATTAATGTATTCTTTATAACCAGTCACGGTGCGCTCGTGACTAATGACAAAAAAAAACCCTGAAAATTACCAAAACATTACGTGTTCACTGAGTTTGAAACTTGCATCGTCATTTGCATCGTTAATATAAAAAATCACTCTTTAATTTTGTGTCCTGTATTGAATTAGAGTTAAAAAAACGTTTTTTTAATTAAAATTACCAAGTGACCATTTCATCATAAAAAACTAGTGCCCTGGCAATAATAACACTTGATAATAATAAAGAATCTACGTGTGAAAACAGGTCTATTGTCGTTTATGTATAAATAATATAGATGTAAAAGAAAAAAAAAACGTATGCAACTTACATTGGTGATAAAAATATTGTATAGCATATATTAATGTATGAAAAGAGCATTTTGCATTATTTCTCACCTCTTTAAGTCTTTCTTGATCTTGAATGTAAAATGCAATATAAAACAACGACAGGAAGGAGTTGACAAATTGAAACTGAAACGCAAACAAAGGCACATTATCGATCACTCACGCAAACTGGTACGCGTAGTGTAAAATATTAACTGTAAGCCAAGCTGCTACGACATGCACACACGCCCTCAAATACCAACCCTCGTAGTCAAGTTGACATCGATATTAACAATATTTTCAGCTTTTAAAACATTGAAATTTCAGCTAAATGGATAATTTATGCATTGTCGCAGACATTGATGAGCACTAAAAGCAAAAATGATGATATTTTTCGAGAATGGATGGAAAAAGTAGATCAGCTGTACTTCAAAAGCAGTATCGATTGAGCAGAACTTAATAGTTTGTGGAATAAGTTGCGTCGTACGGTTCGAGTTGAATGACTCGTGTTTCAGCGATCGAAGCGACTAATGTCGTTCTATCATTTATGCACAACTCTCTGTTATATTAATGAACTGTGGGATTGTGATGGCACGCGATGTGAAGTGTCATGTCGTCATATGTCTCTATGTGACCTTTGATATCTCAATTACTTTTTATCAAAAGATGTTTTTGGTTAATTAGATTATTTTAAGGGTAAGTCAATCATTTGTAGATACTTTTTCGAACAGAAATTTTGAAGGTAAAAGACCCAAATTCGATAGTTTGAGGATATGTTGAAGAATAATGATGCCGAACAAGCCGATAAGATTTTCATACGAAATAATTGTCGAAAGAAAATGTTTGTATGGTTAAACTAATTAATTAAGCCGTGCAATTCAATGATCAATATATCTTCGTAACACTCAGTATTTATCATTATTGTACTTTTTCTGTTTTTTAGAGAAATTCATAAAAAATATTTTTGGATCATCATTGTGGACACCATCGATATTCAGGTCATTTATCTTAGCTAAAATGAAAAGGAGATACATTTTTTTCCCACATTCGAATTACAAATGCACAAAATTATCCGTTTCCATGCGAAATGATGTAAAACATCGACACGACACGTCACATCAAAGCCGTATAGGTATGNTTTTTTTTTTTTTTTTTTTTTTTTTTTTTATTTATAACCCCTATGTATTCAAACATCTCTATGCAAATCACCTTTCACGTCATAATAACAATAAAACGCTATTTTCCTCCCTGCCAGCAACCCACGAGAAAATCGATAACTGATAAAGCCAAAAGACTACTCGCACCAGAACCCTCATCCAACTCTTGGCATATTTTCAAGTAGAGCGTATCACTGTGTGGTCAGACGCTATTTCAGCGTAGCAAAAAACTACTCGGGCACCCTCTACCTTTTCCCTTCCGATCTAAAATTCATCCCGTAAGCTCACCTGCCACGTCCCGATGTTGGACACTCGGCGACCAAAGGGCCGCTGAAGGACGAAGCACAGCTTGAAGGCGTCACCCCTCAGCTCCAGCAGGTTGCCCAGCAGAGCGGCCAGTGCCGCCAGTGGAAACGCCGAAGAGAAGAGGCAGACGTAGCCGAGCTGCGAGAGCATCTCCAGGTGCTCGGAGAACGCACCGTCGTACTGCAAGTTTGCACGTTTTTTCCTCTTTAATTGCGGAAGCTTCGTCCAAGCTCTAGCTTCGTGTCAAACTATTTGAAAATCTTGACAACTCGACCAATTTCTTTTTTTTCCGAATAATAATGGCTTGATTAAACTTACACGTGTAATTGGTATCTGACCCTTTTAATTTTATTTGTAATTTAAACGATCATTTTTGCAGTTTGCATCGTAAAAGTAGGGCAAACTGGGTCGAAATTTTCAAATGGGGTGCACTCGTTGTTTTTTTTCATTAGTATAAGTGTAGGTGGGTTATTGTGCACTCGCCCGTGCAGACAACATTGTGAGAAAGTATATCATCTATGCACAAAGCGAAATTAAAACATAACTGTACAGTGCTCGTTAAATAAGGGGAGGGTTTTATGTTTCTGCACGTAATATATTGTGTGTATGGCTATGTATTTGGAAGATGCGTCTTTTTTTACGCGTCTTGATTACATTCGAATGTACTCTAATATGTTATTTACGGGTGAAAAAATAAATACACTGTGTGTAATATTGGATGAACGTGATATTACCTTCCTCGTTGGTACCTGTGCTTCGTCGATGAAATCGTCGGAAAACGGAAAAAAAGTATTTTAATCTGCAAAAATGATCGATCAAAACAGAAGACAATAATCAACGCGCCAAAAATGACGGTAAAAAAATCATCACCTCGACAAAATACGATTATATCGATCAATAATGATAGTTTCAATATGAGAAAATCGACGAAAAACGGAGACATCAATGTTTAACTCTTACTTTTTTTTTTTTTTTTTTTTTTTTTTTTTTTTTTTTTTTTTTTTTTTTTTTTTTTT